TGTAGTACGGGAACAGACCAATAGTTAATGCATTAGTCGTGTTTACACAACAAATGGTTATATTAGCTCTGTCTGTTTACTCGATATTTGGTAACAATTGTTACCAAATGCTGTCTGTTTACCCAAAAATCCAGTAAAAGAGAGTCAAGTGAGGGAGCAAAATTAACAGTTGAACAACAACAAACTTACTGGAGTTTACTGAAAGAATTGTACGCAGTAAGATTTTCCAAACTCAGCCAATTTCGGATCAGCTGTTTTAGGACCAAACACAAAAATTATTCAAAACTTTTTTTTTAATTTGCAAAGTTCAATTTCAAGTTAAGTTGTGTAAAAATTAAAGAAAATGGAAAAAATTCGTAAGTAATGCTAAGTTTCATTAAATTAGAAACTAATTCCTTATATATTTTAGGCAAGTTCCAGATAGAGAGCAATGTATTGATGCCGGAAGCTTTAATGTTCCCTGGGAACATACCAAATCAATTTTTCTTTTATTATTCATTTTATTTTTAATATTAAATGAAATACAAATAATTGTGTTCGCCCTTTGTTTGTTGTTTATTTTGGCGCAAATAAAATGTTTTCTTGAATCAGCTATTTATTTGCTAAATCTTACTAAATGTTGGCTGTTTACTTTTTTCAGTATTATCGCAAAAGAGAGTAAAAACGCCTGATTCTCTGTACTAGAACTTACTGAATAAATGTTACTGAAAAAGTAACCAGACATACCTATTAGAACTATTGCTTTGTTCCAGAAACTCCAAGAATGATTTTGCATTTATAATGACATCCATGTAGTGGTGGTTTCGTTATGAAACATCTACAGTCATAAACGTAAGAAATAATAAAAAAGATTTTTCTGAGTAAAGGGTCAATTTCAGCTAAATGAATATGTGGTGTTGAAGGCAGGGTTTGTAGTTTAACCCTTCTTTGCATGATTTTTTCTCCTTCTTTGACAAAAAACAAAATTCATTATTTAGCAAAATTAAAATAATTGATATGTTCCCGTACTTCTATAATTTACTAATTTTTACTAATTTCTTCGATATCATAAAGAAAAAATGTTATCGTAGTAAAAAATTGTAAATTCTTGCTGGTTCTAGATCAGACTAATATTTTTATTTTTACACTAATAAATTTCAAATTATGTTCAAGATACATATTTTGGAATACCACGAGCATTTAAGAATAATGTACATAATTTCGACCAACATTTATCCACATCAGTTTGTATGTCATTTGATCTGGGGGGTTACTCTGTATTGCGATGCGTAAGAAAAATTGTATCGCATAGCGAAATTGGTACTCTCTAATTCGTTTTCGTATCCCTTTCCCGCAACTACTATACGGAAATGTGGCATCACCACAATCTGTAATACGAAAACGCATGTCAAACTCGTTCGTTAAACGCAAATATCTTGCGTTAACAAAATAGCAAACGCAAATGAAGCGAAACATGTATGTAAGCACAATTAAAGGTTTTATTTTTATCTAAATTGTTAATTATTTTAAGAGAAAGACAAAAAAGTTACAGTTGCAGTTCCAAACATTCGTAGATTTTATGGTGCAACATAGCGATTTGGCAAAGGGACAGTTGCAGAGTTCAAATTCGAAACAACGCGCCAACAATTTGTAGACAAAACAAGATGATGGCCTTAATTCAAATGGACCTCCTGTAAGAGATGTCGCTGGTTGGAAAAAATTTAATGTTTTATATTTTTACATAAAATGTGAAACTATGTGTGCATATTTAAAGGTTGGTGTTGATGACCACCTTGTCCAAGCAATTTCAAAGAAGCGCCCACTTTTATTGGAGTTGGAATTGCTATGGATCTATTCGGAACGACGAGGTCATTTTTAATAGCGTTTACAAATACATAAACGCTTCTTTATTGAGATGAAAATTTTGTATAAATTTATAAAAATTAAATATTTCAAAACGTTTGTCACATATAATTCCACTATGTGCATTATATAATAATTATATTTTCATACCCATGATCACTTATTCTGCTTTTCCACAGGCAGATTTTTATTTTGCAAATTTGTTGTTTTCTCTTTTGAAATTTTCGCTTGCTTTTCAATTAGCAAATTTTTCTTAGCCAAATTTGCGAATCAAAATACAAAAGAAAGAAAAAAACGTCAAAAGTGTTTGCATTCTAAAGATTTTTTTAATATTTTATTTATTTTTTATATATTTTATTATATAAATTGCAAAAATTAAAAATTAAATTTCACTTGCACAAATTAAAAAAACAGGTTTGTAAACAAAAGCCGGCTGTGTGTCAGTAAAGCGAAAAGGTACAAAGGAAATGTCAACAAAATTGTTTTCAACGAACAGAGCAAAGCAGAATTTGCGTGTACGGCAAATTCTGAACGGCAAATTTTTGTTTTTCTTCCTCGCACCTCTCTCGCCTACAAACTCAGTATTTGCCAAATAAAAATTTGCCTGTGGAAAAGCAGACTTAGGGAGATTATATTTGATCGATCTCATTAAATTCTTTTTTTTAATTCGAATGCGTTTGCGTGTACTCTTAACGCTTTTAGCTTTCGCATCGCACTTGCTTTCGGAACGCAATACAGAGTAACCCCCCTGAATTTCATTCTCAAGGGGAAACACATAGAGGACTTCAGGATTGGCATGCTAATACGGCATTTACATTAGAACTTTTTACCGGGTTAACCTACTTTATTAGGATTTATTTGGCATATATTCAAAGGAATTGAAAATTTAATCCCACTGGGTTAACCAAATCCGGTTAAATGTAAACGACCTTTAAGTTGGCTTATTTTATTGTAAAAGAATAAAGGAGAACGGTGTCTAAATTCAAATTTGACTCTGATATTCCTTTATAACATGACATTTCATAAAAAGACAACTTAAAATGCCAGGCCTGAATCCTCGTATGTGTTTCCCCCTTCAATGATGCTAATGTATTTTGATACCTCTCAAGATCATAATTTTAATCATAAAGGTAATCTTTTTTTTCGATCGTTCCCACGCCACTCTTACCCGCCCCTGCCGACCGAGGGGGCCTCCTCCCCATAACGTAGGGAGAACGTACACCCCATAATCCGGATTATGGAGGGTTATAGTACGTTTACATTTAACCGGATTTCGTTAACCCAGTGGGTTTCAATTGTCAATTCCATTGCCTATTTGTCAAATAAATCCTCATAAAGTAGGTTAACCCTGCAAAAAGTTCTAATGTAAATGCCGTTTTAGTAATGTTGGGAAACACCGGCTACAGTAAACATCAGCCGGTTAAACAGTTTAAAGTTAATTAATTAAACACAACAATAAAGACAAACACAAAACATAAACATCTGGCAACTGCTTGCACTCTACAGTTCTAAATTTAGAATAGAATTTTTAATTACATGTATTGGATCAGATAAAGAGATGCGATTATACAGGTTGTTATATATTTCACATAGTGATCTAAAGGGATTACATAACTCATAATTAGATCTCACTAAAGGAAGATTAAGCGATATATAATTACGAGTAAGACGTGAAGGTACATTAAACTTGATTTCACCGATTAAAAATTTCGAGTCAATTTGACCGCGTAAAAGTTTTATTAAAAATATAGATCTCAGCATTAAACGTCTTCGTTCTAGTGTTGGAAGATTAATAAGTTTTAAACGATTTTCATAAGGAGGGAGTCCTTCAACTGTACTCCAAGGCAAACCTCTAAGAGCAAATAAGAGAAATTGTGTTTGGACAGATTCAATTTTTTTAGAATAACAACTGTAAAACGGGCTCCACAATACACATCCATATTCTAATGTAGGCCGAAAACTAATTTTAAAATAGTAATAATTTATTTTAAATTACATATAATTGAATGTTTAAAAATAATTGAACAACCAAACAATTTTTCAGCATTTTTAAAACATGTTTTGGGGGGACATTTTTTCGAAAACAGTTCTCCCATGGTACAATAATACAAGGTAGGGCAGCTTGATGTGAATAACAAAAAAGCAACTATGCACGTGTGGCCTCTTCTGCTAAAAATAAATATTCGCAACAAGTGTTTGTGTTTATTTGACATTTTTTCTTCCCAAAATCCAGTAGGGAATACCATAAAATGTTTGTTTCGTCCACAACAAAGTAATTACTTCCAGACGAAAGTGTAAAAACTTCATTTTCATTTCAATTTAACGTGAATATATTTCAATTTATTTGACATTGTATTCAAAACAATACACACACATACACAAAATATGTATTTTCATTGAACAAGCCACCTTGAAAAAAAATTGTAATCAGTTGGTAGCTGCGCACTAACTTGTAATAATTATACCATGAGTTCTCCTAAAATCAAAAAATTGCTATTAAATTTTTGACAAAATGACCACAATTTTTTTTTTTTTTTGATAAATATGATTTTATAAGCAGTAAATTTAGCATTTTCATTAATAGAAATAAAAGTTTTTATTATTTTTATTAACACTAATGCTTATCGTTTCCTTGTGGTTGTTGTATATTCGATAACACATAACGCGACGGATGGCTCAACGCGAACATTCTGCTTAGCCCTTTACAGTTCGTTTACATTTAACCGGATTTTGTTAACCCAGTGGGTTTCAATTGTCATTTCCTTTGCATATATGTCAAATAAATCCTCATAAAGTGGGTTAACCCGGTAAAAAGTTCTAATGTACAAGGGGTTTTACTTTGCCATCAAATCTGCTAGGATTTGGTCTTAACTTTTATAATTGTACCATGCGTCGCGTTATTTGTTATGAAAAATACAACAACCACAAGGAAATGATAACTTCAACGCTTGAAGTTGATGTGCGATACACTTCGGATTTAAATATTTTCTTAACTTTTGGCGTGTGTTAACGCGATAACAAAAAACGCGTAACGCGATCATTGAGTGGATCTTGAAGAATTTAAAAAATAACAGCCGTCTACTGGGACGAACAATTTCATAAATTTGAGCTTTTTGCTATGTCACTTCAACGTATGGCAACAACCGCACTTTTTATACCAGGTGGCAACTACTACAAAACAAACGTCAAAAAATACCTTTTTTCTGTCCGCCTTTTTCCGGTCGGTCCTAAAACTGTAAGTTCGTGTTTTTTGTGAATGAAAATTTTGTTGTTTTTAATCGGAAACCATGGGCAAATAAATGAAACGAATATGTGAAATCTTTGTAATATATTTGCCAAATAATATGAAAACTTAAATATTTCTAAGAATGGATTAATACTAAGAGTATATTTTAATATTTTACTAAGAACCCTCGAAAACTTTTGTAAACATTAGTTTGGTCATGGATCCGATGTTTCTCAATAATACATTAACAATGAGTTATCGTATGCAGTTTGAAGTTCCATAAAATAAATAAAAAATGTGAACCTATATTTTTTTAAATTTTTGTAGTGTTATCAACATGAGGACTATTAACTCCAATCAGTGCGTTAAGATCCCCAAGAATATCAAGGCATCCGTCAAGGCCCGTGTTGTCACCATCTCGGGCCCCAGAGGTACCCTTAAACGTAGCTTTAAGCACTTGGCTTTGGATATGTACATGGTAAACAAACGTACCCTCAAAGTTGAAAAATGGTTTGGAGCTAAAAAAGAATTGGCTGCCGTCCGTACCGTTTGCAGTCATATTGAAAACATGATTAAAGGTATGTTTCTACAGTAGTTTCCAGAGTTTGTATAATAATTTTTTTGAAATCTTTTTAGGTGTTACTGTTGGATTCCAATACAAGATGCGTGCTGTGTACGCTCATTTCCCCATTAACTGCGTCACATCTGAAGGCAATACTGTCATTGAGATTCGTAATTTCTTGGGAGAAAAATACATCCGTCGCGTTCAAATGGCCCCTGGAGTAACAGTTGTTAATTCCACTGCTCAAAAGGACGAACTTATTGTCGAAGGTAACGACATTGAGGCTGTATCGGGATCTGCAGCTCTTATTCAACAATCAACCACTGTCAAGAACAAGGATATCCGTAAGTTCTTGGACGGTTTGTACGTTTCTGAGAAGACTACAGTTGTCAAGGAGGAAGTCTAAGATCCTTCACCTGTTTTATTAAAAAAATAAAATAAGCTTTTTCAAGCTACACAAAGGATGTATTTCTTCATTCTATAAAAATTCGAGCTTGTGCGGGTGATATTTTTTTGAATTAAAAATATATATAAAACTAGGTGCGCTGGTAAATTTTTAGGTTTATTTTTGTTTACTCAACGTTACTTTCGGCTAAGAACAGGACGTTCTTGGGTAATAAATTCATGGGCTGAATGACTTTTAAAAAATAAATTTGATGACGATTTAGAGAGTGTAAATATGATGTCGCATGTGCATATGTAGGCATGTTCTGACATTCACTTCAACGGTAGAAGTAAATCGAATACACGTTGAGCATTTCTGTAACACACTCCACCTTTTTTGAAGTGAGTTCTTTGCACTTACATTTTCTTAGTGAGAGTTGGGTGCATTCAAGTTTATATTGGGTTGGGTGTACATGTTTATATTTATCATGGCATAATTATGGAAAGTAGTGTCATTTGAGAAATTGATAATGAACCCTTTTCAATTTAAGAGGACCCCCCCATTCTCGGTGTCAAAAAATTTTTTTTTTTATTTAATTCGAATCTACTCTAATTCTAGAATGTCCCTAAAAATTTTCAGGTGAAAATACCAAGAACTCTTGAAGATTTATTGTGTCAGCATCAAGTGACGGCAAGAGTGATTCTCAAACTTTAAACGCATTTTTCTCGAAGCAGTGTTTTACGAATGGTGGGCACGATAACTCAAAAACTAATAATCCAATCGGTTCCAAATTTTGACACGTTTCTCTGGAAGTGTTGTTGTACAACAAACGATACAACAACCACATTGAAATTTGTTGTTGTATGTTATACTAGTGTCAACGTCATTGGACAGAAAAGTGTAAACATACAAACAAATTATATGTATTTATTTTGAAAATGAAATATTTTCGAATCCTCAAAATAAAATTTGAAAAACATAAATGAAAATCTATCAAATTTATATTTCTATCGCTTCCACATCTTTTCTTATAATTGAGCCAATGCCACTTATATGTGTAACACATATCAAAATGCAGGGAATTGCGAGTTACTCCATGAAGAAAGATTTGCTTCCTCAAACTTTCCCAGCAGGCAGATTGAGTAAATTGAATACGAGAGCACATTTAATAATAAACAATTTCAAAATGTATGCGCTCCAAATTTTCTGTTGGGTGATTTTTAAAAACATAATTTGTCAAATGCATATTGACACTAGTATTACGTTGGAATCAAATCAGCTGGGATTTGCTGTTACCTTTTTGGTCTGTTCCCGTACTGCAATGATCTACTAGATTTTACTATTTTCTTCGATATCATAAAGGAAAATTTGTTATCGTAGTAAAAAGTAGTAGATTCTTGCAGTGCGGGAACAGACCATTTATAATTGTACCATGAGCTCTCGTATGAACTAGGATAAACACAATCGGTGAAGATCTTCTTTATTTTTTAACTTAGTTTGTGGTCCAGTGAGGAGTTGTCATGCCAGCCATAAAAAATAAGGATTTTTCTTTAATTACAAAAAAAAAAAAAAAAAAACAAAGCAATAACAAAATGTTTTTGTAAATTATTTTTCTTCTCTTTTAGATCTTCAAATATATAGTATGTGCCATGGTACAATAATACAAGGTAGGGCAGCTTGAGGTGAATAACAAAAAAGCAACTATGCACGTGTGGCCTCTTCTGCCAAAAATAAAATATATGTACGCACCAAGTGTTTGTGTTTATTTGACATTTTTTCAACACAAAACTAAAAACGAGAATTATGAATGAAAGGTTATGATTTCTTCCCAAAATACAGTAGGGAATACCATAAAATGTTTGTTTCATCCATAACAAAGTAATTACTTCCAGACGAACGTGTTAAAAACTTTATTTTCATTTCAATTAAACTTGAATATTTCTTAATTTATTTGACATTGTATTCAAAACAATACACATACATACAGCCACCTTGAGAAAAAATTGTAATCAGTTGGTAGCTGTGCCCTACCTTGTAATAATTATACCATGTGTTAGAACCTCAGAATCTGGCAAGTCAATACTTTACAGAAGTCTACTGAAAATCGCCAATAATTAATATTCCGTCGGAGCAATTTCTTTTCTAGCAATTGAAATTATAAATATCAAGTATATATAAGTAAGCCGGAAATAATTTAACATTTCCTAACACCAATAAGGTCGCCACCACTTTTTGAAACATCAAATTTTTTTTGAAATATTTATTTATTCTATGTTGTTTCCTCAACCGTTTTGTTGATTTTTATAATAAAACAAATTTCTTTATTTTGTGTTTGAGATCAGTTGGGTTACTCTGTATTGCGTTGCGAAAGCAAGTGCGATGCGAAAGCTAAATGCGTTAAGAGTACAATTTGATACTCTGTATCGCTCACGCAAACGCATTCGCAAACTAAATCAAAAATAGGTCAACACTGTCGCCACAAAGTAAACAATAACGAAGAATGACAAAAGGAAACGCCAAAAAATTGTAAATGAAAACATATTTTTGTGTGGTACGAGTGTTAAAAAAAAAACAAAAATGATGAGCGAATTAAAAAAAGCAATTTTAAGAGATCGATCAAATATACGCCCATTTGACATGTTCCGAGAGTTTTTGAATTCCCATACTTTTTTAAATTCCCAAGTTGTGCAAAATGGTGTGCTCAATTTCGAGCGAAAGTGCGACTCGAAAGCATAGCTGTGTTCAATAAAAAAAAACATATGTTTCATTGGAATTTGTAATTTGTTTAACAACAAAATTAAGAAAAAATATGCCCGCTGGCTTATTAATTGCCCTGGTTTCTACCAGAAAAAGTCTAATGATACTGGAACGTGTTAAAATAAGCATTTATGGATATTTTGAGAGAAGTTAGTCCTTTCATACACAAGTACCATTCCCGAAAGCCTGCAGCTAGCAGCTACCTTAAGATTCCTGGCTGTTGGTGGATTTCAGAGGGTAGTGGCAAATGATTTCAAAATAAGTGTTGATCGCACAACAATGTGCAAAATATTGTGGAGAGTAATGAATGTCCTGGAAGACAAAGTGTGTGCAAACTGTGGACAGCTGCAGACCAGGAGGAACCCTTTTTTATTTTCTTTAATTTTACTATAAAAACTAATGTAAATACAGTATTTTTTAAATAAATATTGTAAAAACACGTTAAATATTACTTCAGCGTTCTTTTTCAACTTGTACGTGCTCAGAAAAACACGTACGATCTCATTTCGTTTTCAATCCACAAGGCAATATGTGCTCGAATTATATTCCCAATATTTTTTTGGGAATTCGGAATGGAGCACACCAAATTTGGGAAAATGTTTCACATTCGAGCAAACTCGAAATGCAGCACATGGGCGTTACTCTCCCTAAGTGACCACGGGTATGAAAATAGAAGCACGAATCATGAGACAAACGTTTTCAAATATTAAATTTTTATAGATTTATACAAAATGTTCGTCTCAATAAAGATGCGGTTATGTATTTATTAAACGCTATTAAAAATGACCTCGTCGTTCCAAATAGATCCACAGCAATTACAATACCAATAACAGTGGCCGTTGCTTTGAAATTGCTTAGACAAGGTGGTTATCAACACCAACCTGTAAATATGCACACATATTCACAAATTTTTATAAAAAAAATACTTTTTCCAACCAGCGACATCTCTTACAGGAGGTCCATTTGAATTGAGGTCATCAGCCAGTTTTGTCCAAAATTGTTGGCGCATTTGAACTCTCCAACCGTCCCTTTGCCAAATCAAAGTGATACACCATAAAATCTACTAAAGTTAGGAACTGACGTTTCTGAGTCTGCAATTGTAACTTTTTTGCCTTCCACCTAAAATAATTTACAATTTATATATAAATAAAACCTTTAATTGAGCTTACTTATATGTTTCGCTTACTTTGCGTTTGCTATTTTGTTAACGCAAGATATTTGCGCTTAACGAACGAGTTTGACATGCGTTTTCGTATTACAGAGTGCGGTGATGCCACATTTGCGTAAATTAATCTCATCACACCAGATGGAAAGGCTTAGGAAGTGGGAGCGTAGGGTTTTGGCTACTTGTGTAGGCCTAAGTGCGCTCACATATAGCCAGGACGGAACTATCAGACGGCATTCTAATAGAGCCATCTATGATAGGGCAGGAGGTGAGAGAATTGACAGGGTCCTGATTACAGGTGCACTGGAATTCTTGAGTAGGAGTGACGGACTGCAAAATAGGGCGGTGGAGGATGCCTTGCGTTGCGACCTAGACGCAGAAGGTCTTAGAAGATGCCGGTACCTACCCCCGGGTGCCCTGTCGCAGCTGTTACAAGAAGATATGCTGTACATCGACGGTGAGCTGCTGTACTACCACCGACGAAGGAATACATATAACCTCGAGGATATTGTATATAATAATGCACAGTAGTTGATCACATTGGAACTTTGTCTTCCATTGCACAATGTGGTCAGCCTGTGTACTGTAAATATTGTAAATATGTATATAGTAGTTTGTATTTTTTAGTTTTAAGTATCTAGTATTAAGTTTTTAGTTTTAAGATATAAAATAAGTAAGCCCATTTTTTAATATTGGATTTTTCGGGACAATTTTTTTTATGTTTTCCTTTTGGAGTTTTAGTGTATTTGTACTAGTGGTTAACCCACAGTAAAACTTTGTATATTTTAGTTGTAAGTAGCGAGTAGCCACATAATATAAGAATTTAGTACAGTAAGCCATTTCTGTAGTTTGTAAGATTATATACCAAATAAATATGGCCATAGGCAAAAATTGAAATTGAATTTGCGTAAAGTAGATGCGAAAGGAGATACGATAACGAATTAGAGAGTACCAATTACGCGATGCGTTACAATTTTTCTCACGCATCGCAATACAGAGTAACCCCCCAGGAATTGTGCTGCCTATGATTTTTCAATATTTCACAATTAATTAAAATTGCATCTTTCGGGTGAACTACAAAAATTGTTGACATTA